TGTCTTCCTCCTCCCTCTCTGTCCTGTAAAATCCCTCCCTGACTCATTCTTCTTAAGTGTGGGATCTTGGCATTAGGCACTGGCCCCTACTTGCCTCCTTACACATACCTTCTCTCTCCCAAAGTTGAGGATGCCCAAGAAGCCTGTTTCTCCACCATGTTGTCTTTTGGACTCCATCTCTGAGCCCTGGACCTTCCTCATTCTTCTTGTTCTCCCAACCCAGAACTGGGCAGTTGGCCCTGGGGGAAGGTCGGTACATAGCCCTGGCCCTCCACTACCTCAACAGGTATTTTCCCTAACCACTCACATTCCCACGAAAGAAACTTAATCTTTCTCCAAAATATGCCTTGGTCCTGCCCCCAACATGATGCTTTGGGACAGGCCCAGAGACTAGTCGTGCTCATCCTCCAGGGTGCCTGGCCATGGAAGTACAAAAGCCCATCACAATGATGAAGATGTATGGAAAGGACAAAATTCTCCTTCCTCCACAAGCACTGGTATTGCTAAGTCTCCAAGGAGCTCAGGGAAGGAGATGGGGATGAGTAGGTGGAGAGGGGCTGTTTTCAGAGGCCAGGGTGCAAAGCTTGAATGGAGGTACAACAGGCAGGGATGTCCAAACTGCTCTGGGTCTTCTCCCCAATCTCTTAGTGCCTTTCATACACTGATATGAGCTAGGGGAGGCACGGTAGGCCCATGCCCTGTGCAAGTCTCAGCCGCACCGTGTATGACAATAATAATAACTATTTGTTGAGCACACCACTGATGCACTGAATCCTCCCAACATCCCTATAGAGTGATTTCTATTGTCAGTCCCATTTTTCCTGTTGGAAACTGAGTCTGAGTTAGGTAGAGGGCCTTGTAAAGTTCCTCAGTCAGTTATGCTTGGGTATAAATCCAAGTCCCACAAACCATGTATGCCTAGGCTAAGTCCCTGCCATACTTTCACCCTCAGTTACCACAGCAGTAAGAGGGACTTAATCTGCATTCCTCATCTCCCTCTCAGTAGTAGCAAGGGCCCAATGATTGACGACTGAAGCTGAGCTCCATAGTACAAAGAGACTCCTTCCCCTCTCCCTGTTCCCCTGCAGAGGTTGAAGCAGATTGAAATCTGGGCCAGGGAGGTAGGAGAGGGTAAGGGGGTATGGAGAGTAGCTCTGGCCTGCTCTGGTAACCCTGAGAGGCCAGATCAGGCTTAGAAAATATTTACCAGGCAGTGAGAGCCTCCAAAGCATTAAGACTGCTAAAGAAAAGGCTTACCCAGATCCCCATAGTCCATCACAGGTGGACTGCACTGTTTACAAAGCAATTTCACCTTCTTTATCTCCTGCAAGCCTTACAATTAACCTGGTCTGCAGGTGTCAGCCCAGAGCTGGGCAGCAGAGAGGGGTCTAGCAGAGGCCCCATTTGACCCATGCATCTCTAAGTCTCAGAAAAACTAAGAGATCACTCCCTAGTGGCATTAAATAATCCTTGCATAACCTGAGCCCCGACTGTCAGTCCATGGGATTTGACTCCTGCTGCTGGCCACTCTGCTTCCTGCAGTGAGGCTGCCTCTCTGGTTAATCTCCAGGTAAAGAAAGAAATAAAAATTTCCAGTCAAATAAGCTAGACTGAACCTCCCTACTTGGCCACCTCCCTCTCCTGTCTCCTTATCCACCCCCATCCCACTCCCACACCTCTGGAAATGAACAAACAAAAACACAAAACCAGAGTAATCCTGAATCCAAGTTCCACCAAGCACTGGATAACATTCTTACTGGCTTCTCTTCCAGATATCCCCAGAGCTGGGCCAAAATGGTGATTTACAATCTACAGTTCCAAGGTCATTTATTGATTCAGCGCACAAATACTTCCCAAGACCCTACCATGTCCGTGACACTCCACTCTGCTGGGCTCAAATACACCTCCTCACATTCCTTCAAGGTGTTCAAATTCCAAAAGATTCAGGTAAGATCCCAAATAACTCTAAGGTAGACAAGACTAGTATTAGTTATTCAGTGGGAGAGGGGAGTTGGTAATGGGACTCAGACAAGAGGAAGAGTGCTTTCTGAGATGAGCATCATCACATAGGGATTTAGGGAGGAAGGGGCATTTGAGCTGAACCTTGAAGAACGGGGAGAATTGAACAATTTTTATGGATAAAAACAGTCTAGACAGAGGGAACTGCATAAGCAAAGACAATTTTTTTAGTGGAGAGAGTGTCGATTTGGGAGTCAACAAACCTGAGTCTGAATCTCAGTTCTGTCATTCACTTCTTTAAAGAATACTTTCCCCTCTCAGGCCCTCAGTTTCTTCATAGTAAAATGATAATATTGTTTTTTCTGGCTTTTAAAGGTCTTTTATGTGCTTCCTTCCTGACATAATTTTTCAAATATCAGGCAGACCCATTTGCCTCAGGATAGAGTAGGTGAGAGAGAATAATGCAAGGGTAATTGGGTCCATGTTCTGAAGAGTATTGAATGTCAACCCAGGAGCCTGAGCAGAGAAAGAAAATAGAAGCCAAGCCCCAGGCCTAAGCCCTGAGGTTGTACGTTTAGCCAGATTCCAATTTAAGAACATGAACTTTGTAGTCAGGGTGGCCAAAGATGGAGACCTGGCCTTATTACACACTAGTAGTTCATTAAATAGTCATGCCACCTCTCTGAGCCTCAGTTTCTTCATCTCTAAAATTAGAATGAAAGTAAATAACTCATGAGATCGTTGTAAAGATTAAATGAGATCATGTGTAAAAAGTGCCTATAAGTATGCTACTTTCCTGTCCCTTAGTCCCTTCTCCCCAGTGCCAGGCTTTAATTAGTCTTTGCTGTTCCTTCTTCTCTTTCTCCTTCTCCAAAGCAGGCTTCCAAGTATATCCAGAATCCAACCACTTCTCCCCATTCCCAATATCATTCACCTGGATTATTGTAATAGCCTTTTAATTAATCAGCCTGATTCTATTTTGCCCACTTACAGTTTATTCTTAATCCAACAGCCAGAGTAATCCTTTCAAAACTTAAGTCAAATCATGTTACTTCTCTGCTCAAAACCCTACAATGTCTCCCTACCTTACCTAGAGCAAAAAGTAGAATGATTACAATAGTGTACTCACTTTTTAGCTTTTGGGCTTCATCTATACTTTAGCCACACTGTCTTCCTCATTGTTTCTCCAATAGAAGATAGACATTCTCTTTGCACTTGTTCCCTCTGTCTGGATCCTCTCCTCCTCACTCCATCACCTCTCCTATATTTTATTTAAATGTCACTTCTAAGTGAGGTCCTCCCAGACCACCACATTTAAAATTGCAACATCCCCCAGCATTCCCTATCCTCCTTCCTACTTTCTTCTCCTTCACAGCATTGATTATTACCATATGACATACTATAAAATGTAATTACTTATTGGTTTCTCTCCCCACTAGAATATAAGCTTAATAAAGTCAGGGGTTTTGTCTGTTCACTATTGATGTCTCCATGCATAGAACAGCACCTAGCACTCAATAAATATTTGTTGAGTAAATTAGTGAATACAGTGGTCCCACTTTATGTACCTGGTACCCTGAGTCAAGCAGTTTGTATACATTATCTCAGTAAATCCTGCCTTGTAATGCAGACACTGTTAAGATCCCTATTTTACACAGGGAAAATCCTTGAAACTCCCAGAAGTAAAGTGATATTCCCAAAGCCAAAAAGGGATTATTTAATGAGGGCACCAGATTGGGTTGGACTTTATAGAGTAGCACATTCCCTGAGTAGGAGCACAGCCTGGACTAAAGGTTGTGGTAGGTTTTGGGAGGGGGTAAGGAACAAGGGTGGGTGGAGGTGTCTGAAACACTGGGATACAGACTGTTTTTGTGGTCAGGAGATGATCTGGGTTTTGAAGCAAAATCTTGAGTTTATTGGCATCTACCGGCAAGCCCATATCTTTTTCAACAATCAGAGCTTTACACAGGAAACCTTCTTAAGTGTAAAAGACAGTTGGGAGCTGCAGCTTCCCTGGATTTGAGACTGCAGGAATTTGGCTCCTTAGTGCACTGGCTTTGAGGCAGAAGCCGTACTTGGCAGAAAGAGACAGGTGAGACTAGTGAACTAGTATGAAAATGAGAAAGCCCACTACTCACATTGTTCTTCTGTCTCTTTCCTTCCCTTTTTCATAACCTACTCTCTTCATCTTTCTTTGATTTATGCATATTTGTAAAACGGCCAATTAATCCAGCCTGCCATCCACTGGAATGTAACCTTAGGAAGGCAGAGCAGAAATGTTTGTCTCTTTTTCACTTCTGTATCCCCAGTGCCTACAACAGTGCCTGGCACACAGTAGGCATACAACGTAGTTGTGAAATGAATCTCTATCCTGAGAAACAAAGCCCTCCTCCTGGGGGAGGGGGCAATGAGGAATAGGGAAAGCCCTTTTCAGAGGTATTATGGGCTAGTGCCACATCGAGTAACCCTGCCAGGGAAGGTGGGCAGAGAGAAAATCACAGATGCAGGCTGAGTGCGGGAAGATCAGCAGAAAGGGAGGAGGCCTTCAGGGTAAGGACTGAATTCCAAAAAGCAGGACTTGACCTTGTTTCTGCAGTCTCCATCTCACTTTGGAGGGAGCTGGTCAAAAACCCCTGGGAGAACTCCTGCCTCCAAAAGCTCAAGACTAGTGCTATGGGGACCAGATGGACAAAAGCCAGAAAGATGAGACAGAAAGGCCCAGGAGCTCTGGGAGAGGGAGCAGAGTGAACAAGTCCCTGTGAAAGTGAAATGGCCCTTCATTTGAATGCAAATGCTATGTAAAAGCCTGAAGCCCCTTGATGTCAGCCCAGCCATTGGTGGCCCATCTATACCCGGCTACCAGTCACCTGGAAACCGTCAGGGTAGGAAAGGCGGGATGGAGTAGTCTAAGGGGCGCAGAGGAGCGTGCAGCATAGCTACAGACTGACCTATTGATTCCCTGCTGCTTCTCAAAGTCACGTTGGGGCCTTACAAGGATTTCAGGATGGCTTAGAGAGCTTCTTCCTCATACCCAAGCCACCATGTACAGAAGCTGCCTTTTGGAAAAAGAATCGGGCATGTACCCGGGCACTCTCAGGAGCCCGGCGGGGGGCGGCACCGCTGGGGCTGGCGGCACTGGAGGGGGTGGGAGTCCGCTGCCAGCCTCCAACTTTGCAGCGGCCCCAGCTTACGCTCACTACATGGGGTATCCCCATATGTCCAGCATGGATCCTCACGGGCCGTCGCTGGGAACCTGGGGCTCACCCTATAGTCCCCCTCGGGAAGACTGGAGCGCGTATCCCGGACCATCCAGTACAATGGGCGCGGTGCCCATGAACGACATGACCTCGAGCCCCGCGGCTTTTGGCTCCTCGGAATACAGCAACCTGGGCCCGGCGAGCGGTGGAAGCAGCAGTGGCAGCATGCCAGCCCCAGCCGGCGGATCACTGTTCCCCATCGACGCCAGCACCGCCAACGCCAGTTCTCCCAGCAGAAGTCGCCACAGCCCCTATGCATGGATGCGCAAGACTGTGCAGGTGACTGGTGAGTAATTGATTCCAATGCCCTCACATTTCTCCTTCCTTTGCTTCTCCTCTATTTCCCTTGGCCTGCCTGCCCTTCTACTCCTCAGACCTCTCCTGGGACAGCTTAGCTGAGGAGACCACTGTGTGGCTGACTGCTCAGGGCCCCCGTCCGTTAGTGACCTCCCTCGCATGTACCTCTGCCCAAAGCCCGCAGTGTGTGGAACTTAGAACTAAACCGACCCTAGGGGTGTTTTTCACCATCCCCGATCAGTCAAGGAAGCAAGCGGGTGGACAATGGACATGTTGAGCCACAAGGATCAGGATCCAGCCCTGTAGTTGCCCAGATGGGAAAGCAGATACTCGGAAAAGATCAAAGGGTGAACGAGGCGAAAGGATAGCCACGGTGTCCAGATGCTCAGTCACTGCTGCCTGTCCGTTCCATTTCAAACCCTTCCCCACCTGAGCGAGTTGAGTTCCCCTCAAAAGCTGATGATGCTCGACTTAGGTCCACAGTGCTTGGCTGGCAACGGACCCTCCAGTTTAGCCACGAAAGCCACATTGCAAAGTGGCCTCGTCACCCCGGCCTCTCAAGGAAGCTCCAGCTTCCTTCGCCCAAGCTGGCAGAAGTGAGCTGGACTTAAACTCATTGCCTTCTTTCAACGTCCTTTCCGCCAATGGAAGCGTTGAGGCAGGCTACAGCACGCCGCATGGACATAGTAAGCTGCTCAAACCCTAACATCCGCTGGGCTCGCTCGAATAATCAGCCCCAGCACTAATAAGTGGTTAAAGGCTTTATAACTGTCCAGGCAGGGGTCTAGAGGCGCAGGGGCTGGATGCAGATCTGTGACTGCGTGCCAGAAGGCCCAGAGATCCCAGCCTAACGCTGACCAATACTCCTACCAGCAAGCCGGTGGGCGGCTGCTGGGACCCGGGGGCGGGGGAAGTGAGCGCTCTGCTTTAATCTTGCACGGGGCGAGGTTGGGGGAAGGCGGGGAGATGTTTGCTTTCAGTTGTAGCTGTTCTTTTATCACATTCTTATTATTCCAACCCGTCGCTCCCTGTTATTAGAGAAAATTAGTAAAATTTGACTCTATCACTTTCATCCCTCTGGGGAGGAAATGACATTTCAATAGAATTTGTCCACAATTATTATGCTCCTGTTCACAATTCTGCACTTTTTCTCCCTTCCAAAAAGCAAAGGCAGCGGGGTGGGAAAGGACCAACTTTTACCATTAAGAGGACTCAGCCGGGGGGAGGCAGCTCTGGTTGATTAGGACACTACCAGGATAGCAATCTCAAATTATGAATAGAGCTTAAATACTTGGCTTTAAAGTGTTTTGAGGTAAATCTGCATATCTTTTTTTAAAATATGGGTGAGTCGGCTGGCTAGATAGAATAGAAAATGAGGTTAGGGTGCGGCACTCTCAGGGCTGTTATTATATCTAATCTTAGGGTTGTAATTAATATCCATTCACTAAGCCCTAGCCCTCAGCAAAAGACACAAAAGCCAGGAAAGTAGCTGCTCCCAGTCCAGTATTATGTTTTGAAACACTTTAGAAGAGGAAAGTTACTAGTGTTGTTTGGAAGAAAAGCAATGGCGAAAAGGGGACAAGATAAAAGAAATCTTGAGTCATGAATTTTCTGTTTATGAGAGAAGATATGACAGGTTTCTCTGCTTAAAAGTCTTCTTGACTTAGGTAATTCTGGTCCCAAGAGAGTTTAGAAAAGGACTCCTTGGCCTGTGGTATCTTCATCATTAGCTGAGCCTTCAAACCTGGCTGTACAATGCCACCCTCAGAAGATTTTCTCTCCAACTTCCATGAGAAAGTTAAAATTGAATGATTTTGGAACTCCTTTGACTCCTGGCAGCCTATCCTATAGATGAGACTTTATTAAATTCAATCTTTCTTTCATTTTCATGTCTTATAAATTAAAATTACTCCTTTACTATATTTTTGTAGCCCAAGGTGTATATTTAGCAAGAATTTAAGAATATGATGAAAACTATGGACCCTCTCCCCAGAAAAATGCACAAAAGCACACCTGCATGCACACGCGCACACACATCATTTTAAAAATAATTTGGGGACATTCATGGACCCACTGAAACCCTTCCATAGATCTCAAGTTATGAACTCTACAAAAAAATGAAGCTGATCATCTCACTGGACCACTCCAAACCAAATTGCACCCATTTGTGTGCTTAATACATAGTGAGTATTAAACAAATATTTGTTAAGTGAATGAATGAGTCAGATTCTCCTAAATTTTCTACTTCACTCTGTAGTATTTTGGGACAACATTTGGCTTATGGCTGAGAAGAAAATAGATGAACTACAAAATGGAAGTAACCTCTTCATGATTAAGGTAATCAAATGAAAGCTCTTTCCATTGCTGAAGAATGTTTTAAATAACTGTAAGTTAAAGAAAAATATACATATTAGGGGACAATTAGAAAACATTTCATCATGGTTATTATTGCACTTGATTTTCTAATGAGAGAAAGGGGACTCACATACAGAGTAAATGACTGTCTCCTAGGTGATTTGATTAAAAAGTGAGATATTTTATTCCAACTTTGTTCCCCAAGTGATCCATTTCATTTAAAGATTATGTGAAAAGGAACCTGACTGAAAGTTCTGTGAAAATTAAGAATTTTCATATTTTAAACATTGTCAGTGCATTACAGCTAGGAATTATTTTTTCATCTTTTCTTTTCTCTTATCCAGAGTTGTAGCCCTGGATGAGCATTGGCAAGGTGGACTGGAGAGAGGCTCTAAGCAGGACTGGAGAGAGGTGTTCTTGTTAGGGGTGAGAAAGAGGGCAGAGAAAGAAGTGACTGGATAATTCTGATTAAGCCACTAGACAAAACACTGAGGAAGTTATACTTAAAGGGTTTTATTCAATTAGGACACTTCAAAAAATGAGTTGCTTAATAATTCTTGAAGCTTATCATTGTCTTCCTTGGTTTTGATCATTTCATTGGACAATTCTTATAAATGCCTTTGATGCAATTTTTAACTAAGAGCAGCAAAGCATTACCATAAGATGGAAAGTCATCCTTATGAGGCCAATTGCACTGTACACCCTATAGAAGGAAATTTATTTTCATCATTTTTACCCTCATAGTCATCATCCTCGTAACTCTTAGGTTTGGAGAGTGCTTTTCTGCCTAATCGCACTTTCACAGCCAGTCTCTCAAATGAGCACATTTAGGGTAATAATAAGTTATCGTATATGATGACATCCGCTTGCGAACTCTGTGAGGATACTGTCTCCTGGATAATGGAAAGGAGTCCATCCATCCTGAAATACAGAGGTTTGTCCAAGTCTTTGCGGGGGGGGGGGGGGGGGCGGGGGATGGGGAGTGGAGGGAGGTGAGGCAATGAAATCCCACTACAGAAGGATGGAAGCAGCCCTTTAATACATCTTAAACATTGTTACTTTCCTAAATTAACGCACAACACTGTCAAAAAAGGGGATCCCTCATCCTCAGAAATGTAGACTTTAGGAGAATAGCTTGAACAATAAAAGCTAGGACTTTTAGCGTTTTGTTGGTGCTTTGGTATGGGAATATGGACAGTATTCTCTATTAGAAAATGTCCAAATCCCATTCAATCAGATTTCATCATTTAAGGGGCAAGGGCAATGAGAGGGGAGTAAAAGAAGACAGTTTTGGGGGAGGGACACAACAGGAGCACCAGGAAATGGGAATTCATTTCTCTTTGTAAGCTGTGCAGTCAATATTTTCCCCTGAGCTACGTCTTCTTGAGATTTGAGGTCTTATCTGTCAGATTGGGGCAACAGACCCTTTTTAACACTTCTAATGGCTTTGATATGCAGCCGGGCTCTTCCTCATTCCTCCTTTCTTCAGGGGTTATATTGCCGGAAAGGGTGAGGATTTTCATGGCAAATAAAGAGGCCTGGTCTTGACTTTATTGTCCTCAGAAGAAACTGCAAGAGGAGAATTTATGACCAATGGGGGTGGGGAAGGACTCCAACCTTCCAGAGTTCTTGAAGTCTGGTTATATTTACTGATTGTCAAAGAGCAGAAAACAGACACACACAAGTTGAATTTTAACTTCTGCCTCAAGTTGGAATTTAAACACGCAGCCACTTTGGGATTTGGAAAGGTTTTAACAAACATATCTTCAAAGATATATTTTGATCCTGAGATTTGAGGTTCTGGAAATAAATTAAGCTTCAAAGTTTTCATTGTAACCTCAAATATACATTCTGCCTTTGTAACATACCAAATGCCAGACCCCTGGTTTCCTGGGTTTCTGTCTGGATTCAGAAAATCAGCTCAAAGTTTGGGCCTTTGAGGTAGGTTAACTGACTGGGGTTCATCATTTTCCATTTTCAAAGGGGAAAGTTTTGTTTAGTTCATTCGTCCATGAGTTATTCAGCCATTTAGTTTAATCCTAAAACATATCTCTCATCTAGAATTTGTTTCTACAATCATGTCCCTTTTTTTTTTTCTTTCCTAGAGATGAAAGAGTGTCTGACATTTGTTTAGGGCTTGTAAATTCCAAACCAATTGGCTGGTGTTCCTGAATGTAAAGAGGGTTCAGGATGGGATCTGATGCTATGTAGCTCCTTTGTTAGGCCTGTGCTGCATCTTAACACCTCAATGGAGTTTAGGGAACCACTTTAAAGAAACCTTTGTCCTACAGATTGCTCCCCAAAATCTCACATCAAAAACAACCAGTGAAGATCAGAAGGAGTTTGCCAAAAGCCATAGAGAAAAGGAGGAAGATCCTGGAGGGGGTTAAAAAAATTGAAAAGAAAGGGAAACTTCCTAATCACCATTGGAAAATTTGAAAGGAGGAATAAAACTCTATTTGAAGGAGGGCTTGAGAAATTAGTTAAATGTTGTAACACAAAGCAAATGTTTGTATATCCTTTCAACGAATACTAGAATGCTCATTTTATTCTGCTTAAGTCAACACCCCCTCCATTCCTCATTCATTATCCACTTGGGAATAAAAATCGGTTTAAGACTCTCACAAAAAACAAACGAAACTATTTTTCTAATAGGTAATAGGGGATATCCTAGAACAGAATCTAAGTGACAATAAATGTTTTCTTTTTTAATTACAATCCAAACAAAATTCTCTCCAGGATGTGTATGTAACTAGAATGTGTGTAACTAATAATGTCAGGATCATATAATAGTTTGCCACACTTGGGCTATTCTTATGCTTCCCAGTATGTTTAAACTGGGAATAACATTTAGCACACTGGACTGGGAGTCAAAGGTATGTGTTTGGGTCCCCACTCATCAGTTCACTAGCACAAACCCACTTATTTACCTACGCTGAGCCTCAGGTTCCTTATCTGTAAAATGGTTCCTTATCTGTATAATTTGAAAGGGTTGGTGAGAGGTTCAAGAGGAAAGAGTATGAATGAACTGCATAAAATATAAAGGGAAGTGCATGTATAATGGATGTTGCTACTACTGCCAATGGTGTTCCCATAGGTGAGTGGGAAGGGAATGAAAATCACAGGTTAAGTATTCGCTTTAAAATGCGTTTGTATGGCGGTAGGTCAATGGTGGCATGACAGATGTGTTGGTTACATGTATATGTAATAGTCACAGATGACAAAGTATTTAATGGACAAATGGACTTATGACGTATTTGTTCGAAAAATGTCCTTGATTTATATTTGAAAGTAATAGATGAGAATGGGAACAGTGGCTCTGATTCCTTCAACTGAAACAATCTCCAAAGAAGTAAAATATGTTTAAATGTACTATTTTCTCCCCTAACAGGGAAAACAAGGACAAAAGAAAAGTATCGTGTGGTTTACACAGACCATCAAAGGTTGGAGCTGGAGAAGGAATTCCACTGCAACAGATACATCACCATTCGGAGAAAATCAGAGCTGGCAGTCAACCTGGGCCTTTCTGAGAGACAGGTATGCCAGAAGTATATCCAACGTGTCTCATATAATCATTTCAATAGGCTGAGGTTTTAGGGAAGTCTGTAAGCAGGAGTGGAAGCAAAACAGAAGACCAAGACATTCTCCAAGCTCTCCTAAAGCCCATATTCATCCACTGGACCTCCTAGTTTACCCTCCTTGGTTGGTGGGTTTATTAATAATTGAATGTGGGGGGCACTATGTAGGTTTGGAAACTAGAGTTGGGGACATGGGAGGTGGAAAAGGACTAAAACTCCCATATAATTGGTCAGTCAAGTCAAAACCTTGATCTGGTTCTCCAAGTAGTCACAACCAACATGTGAAGTGAAGATTTGGCAATCATTGCAATTATCTAGTTTATATCAGTCAAACTACAACAGTAACTGAACAACAATGTTGCTGCCTGAACCAAGTTTTTCTGTTATTCAGGGCAGGAAATTTAATTTTCTATGGTCTATGTAATCCTATGATGCCTGCCTTAAATTTAGCTTACTGTGGGCACTCATTGAAGATTAAATCATAGAAAGGATCAATGGTTTCCATTCATCAGGACTTTGACATGACATAACTACCTGATGTTTTTTTCACTTAAGTCTAGGAGTAATCCTGGAATCACAGAATCCTAGAATTGTAAAGCCCATTAATGTATTGCCTTATCCCAAGGAGCTTGTATTTCAACCACGTCTTAAGGCACATTGGTATCATAGCAAGGGATATACTATTTCATCACCCTTGTTCACCAAGTTTTATGTTTCATTAACTTTACTATTAGGAAGTTTCTTTAATGACAGATTGTAATCATCTTTGCTATTTAAGTTCCTCCCTTTTTATCCCCACACCTCAGCATCTGCCATTCTATCATTATTTATTTCTACTTGTGCAATAGAGGTGGTGGGTAAGGTGTAATATAAAGACCACTACATTCAAAATCAGTAGCCCTGGACTTGATCTAAGTTTCATCTCATGCAAGATACTTTCACTCTCTGAGTCTCAGCCTTTTTTAACCTGTTAAATGGGCATATTTCACAAGGTCACTGTGAGGCTCAAATGAAGTGATGCATGTGAAAGGGTTTTGTAAATGCTAAAGTCCCTGCACAATATCAGCAATGACTATGAAAACTGCATTCAGTATGTTGCCTCATTAAATCCAAAGCATTTTGTGTTTCAGGTGAAAATCTGGTTTCAGAATCGCAGAGCCAAGGAGAGAAAGATGATCAAAAAGAAAATCTCCCAGTTTGAGAAGAGTGGAGGCTCAGTGCAAAGTGACTCTGGCTCCATCAGCCCTGGGGAACTACCTAACACTTTTTTCACCACCCCATCTGCTGTCCGTGGATTTCAGCCTATTGAGATACAGCAGGTCATAGTCTCTGAATGAAAGAAAGGCAAAGAAAGATGGAAACTGCCCTTCGTTTAGCGTTGTCTTTTTGGTCTCTAAGATATCAGCAGAGGAGTTGGGACAGGATGTAATTCCTTGTAAGGCAGTACTCAGAACAAGGGATGCACAATAGGTTAAAGATAATTCAGGAGTCACTTGCTGTTAGAAACTATCGCCAGAAAACTCCTGTTATGTGCTATGCTGTATGTCAATCACTCATGAAGCTTGGTGTAAGCTATATAATTAAAAGCTACAATCACAGGCCATTGCAACTCTATTCACAATTTCAGAAACCTGCTTGTGAATAGACTGTTAAAAAACAGTTCTGCCAGAAGGCTCATTTTTGTATGTGTATTAGTGTTTGCTATTTGATGCTAGGTGTGTTCTTTTATGTCATCTTTGGGAGGTGGGAAAAAAGTAAGCAGAAATTTACCTATCTGTAGCTACCTTTTCAGTGTTTTATTCAAAAGCTAACAGTATTTTCATAACAAGACAAATGTTTAAAAAGTCATCAAGAAGTGATTCTGAATCCATTGTCACTGGTTAATAAAAATAATAAATAAAAAACCCATATTTGTCCCTCAATCATAATTGTCTAGCATCAGTTATCTTATCTCAGAACTTCCAACATGTAGTATCAATTTTAAATCTTGCCAAAACAATGAAATCAGACTAGAACAATACAGGCCAGCTTGGTTGAGTCATTAGAAAGGCAGATCTACAACACACAGAATAAACCTTTCCCCCTTTCTGTCTTTCCACTCTATTTACTGCTATGGTTCAGTGGCAGTCAGAGTTAATGTGACCACAAAGACTGTGTACTGGTCTATAGCCTCTGTTTGCCATCACCTTCGACCTGTTCAATTTTACCTACATTATGTCATGTCAATGCAGTATGGTCCAAGGAGCTGCAGTTTGCAGGTTACAAATAACACAACTTGGGCTGAAGTGAGCGGAGTGTTTTGGTGTTGGTCCAGTATACTGTTTACATATAGAGGTGTCCAAAGGCTGGGCTCTAAATCATTTGAAATTAAGATGATTTAAAAGAAAGTTTGATTAAAGTAGGAAAGCAATCAGAGTACAACTTTTCTTTCCTTTTCAAGATACATCTTTGAAGTTATTAAGAAAATTAGAATCTTGAGCATAACTACCTCTCTTTGGGTTGCGAGTAAGAAATTTATCCTCCCTCTCCTTATGAAAATCCCAGAAAGAGGACTCACTTTCTGTGGTTGCTCCTGAGGTACATTTGGAAAGATTTAAGGGAAAAACCCTTCTATCTTTGATCCAACCTTTTGGAATTATGTTCTGCCTTTCCTTCATGCATCTTCACAACACTTTTATGACAAAGGTATCAAATGTCCCATTTTGCTTATAGGGAAATGGAGATTTGAGTGATCAAATCACTTTCCAAAGACACACAGCAAGGCAATCATAGATGCTGATGAGAACCCCTAGTTAAATAAGAATGATCTTCCTCAGTCTCTAATGATAGATCCAAACTCAAAGCACCCCTCACTATTCATTTGGTATCTGATTATGCCATTGAAGTTGCCCACAGCTCCCTAAACAACAACCAGTGGGTAATTACTACCTAGGAATGCAGCCTTAACTCTTTGTTTTCCAGCTCCCCTACCCTCCTCATCAGTGAATTTGGGACTTCTACTGATAATCTTAAGAATTCCTTACATGTGTGTAATATTTTATATTTTTCAATGCACTTTCACACGTGTTATATTATTTGGCCTGATATCCTCAAAAGATAGGAAAGATTTGCTATTCCCACTTTGTAGTTTAAGAAACTAGAGACAAGAGGCGCTTAAGTATCTTTTGTTAACCAATTCCACTCTTAGCCCAAGTCTATATATTAAGAAACGGTGATAGGATAGATCAATTTAAACTCTTTCTCTTTAAAAAGTTACCAATTTTTCAGTAAGTTAATGGCAAAATCTAGGATTACATCTCAGGTCCGCTAGATTCAATAAATATATAATGAACGCCTACTCTATGCCAGGCACTGTGCTAGGGTTTCTCTACTCCCAGGAGAGCACATATTCTATTCTACCTCACTGCCTCCAACAAATATGGTGCGGACTACATATCATAGTAATTGGCCAGCAGGCCATTTGGAGTGCTGAACATAGAAAATAAGTGTTAAAATGAGTCCTTCTAATATAGTAAGGGGAAGGTGGGAATTTTAAAGATGAGGAAGCTAACTTCTGAGGGTACATAGGCAAGTACCCACCCCATTCCAAAGGTATACCTTTGGCTATAACAGTTGGATTTCCTTGGGTGTTGTTCTTTCCTGCTGTAAACTTTTACTCCACAGAGAAGAAACATCTCTCTATTTTTATAGATTTTAATTCTCTAGAACTTGCTAACAGAACCACAATATGGAACTTTTGTTCTTAATAGCATATTGCAGCCACTTCCTCTAAGAAGACACGTTGATTCTTTCTCTGAGACCTGAGAAAAATATACACTCCATGCTTTTATGGCCATATTATAGTGACGTGTGCTGGAGGTATGTAGAGAAAAGAAAGTTAAACGCCAAAACTCAAAAGTTGCATTTAAAGTTGGTTTCAATAAAGAATTTTTTTCTGGTAAAGAAAGAGGCAGGAATGAAAACATTCCAAATGACTGACAGTATTCAGCTAGGGTAGTAGGATTATGCAGATTTTCTTCTTTTCATCACTTTTCAAATTTATGTTGTTTTATAATAGAAAAAAAATGTTTTCTTTAAAGATTTTTTATTTTTATTTTTTCCTTTTTCTCCCCAAAGCCCCCCGGTACATAGTTGTGTATTCTTCATTGTGGGTCCTTCTAGTTGTGGCATGTGGGACGCTGCCTCAGCGTGGTCTGACGAGCAGTGCCATGTCCGCGCCCAGGATTCGAACCGACAAAACACTGGGCCGCCTGCAGCGGAGCGCGCGAACTTAACCACTAGGCCACGGGGCCAGCCCCAAAAAATGTTTTCTTAAGAAACATTTTTTCACCCCAAATCTTTCTTTAGTTTATCCTCAAGTAATTCGCTACTTGGGAAGCTTCCTTGCAAACTATACAAGTGTTCCAATTTCCCAGTTGCTTTGTTAAGGCCCTTGATGTAGTCTGGGAATTGGTTGTGTACAGCTGCAAAGAAAGGTCTTTGGGAGGGTCTGGCTTCTTTTCAAAGGAGGAATGAAGCAAGGCCCAAGGAAAGTTTTCTACTCTTGGCTCATATCCAGAGAATCCGGCTGTTTTTCTGGGTTGGAACATTTTAACACTACCAAACCAAGCCAAGAAGGGCAGGAGGTGCCTGCAAGGAGGGAAGGTGGTATAAGGGAAGGGTAATATTACAACAGGGCATGAGGAACATTTTTGGAGTGCTGGATATATGTATTATGTTAATTCTGGTGATGGTTTCATTAGTGTATACAAATGTCAAAAATCAACTTTTATACTTTAAATATGTGCAGTTTCTTGTATGTCAATTACGCCTTAAGAAAGCTGCAAACAAATACAGCAGAGGCCTTGCAACTCTGATAACCCAGAAGGGAGGAACTCACTAGAGGATTTAGTCTACGGAGATAGTAATTTTAGACAATTTAGTTTCAGCCCCCCAAGTGGAGATCACTTCCTTGTGTATTTATATCTGAATGTGCTACTGAGGAGGGACACAAACAATTGATAAGCAGCGGGTCTCTCATACATGGGAATGGGTTTGGTGGGTAGAGGAAGACCAGGTGTATGTGAGCCTTGGATCTTCAAGTATGAGTGCCAATGCAAAGCAAAGAAGTCCCCTACTGTGTGCCTTCGGGATGAGTATTGTGAGTTGGTTGTAAAAGTAACTCTTCACATGGTATGAAAAAAGAGCCACTGAATTGGAAAATGAGACCTGAAGTTCTAGTTTTACCTAATTCTGCAACTAAATAGCTGTGTAAGTTTTGGTTAAGTCACTTCACCAATAAGAGTCTCTGTCATTTCATTTGTACAATCTAGAGATTTGACTTGGCTTTAAAGGTTTATTCCAGCTCTTATTTCTACTGGACACCCCAGGAAGACCCCATATACTTTCCCCTTCTCTACTACTCACACAAAATAAAATAAACACACACACACACACCCTTGGTTTCTCAGGGATTAAAGTACCACTGACGCAAGATTAGCCCTTTGGTCTCAACAACTTTTTCTGTCTTCCAGAGTTTACCACAGAGACTTACCCTTTCAGAGTCCACATGTCTCCATCTATAAAACATGAAACGAGCTTAATCTTACCAATCTCTGAAATTCTAGGTCTGTGACTCTCTAATTAAAATTCAAATATTACTGGAAGAGGAAGGCACTTAAGCTGCTATCAATCATTTCCCTAAACATGTTCTAACCAGAAAAGCCTTAGAAAGTACATCTCAAAATGGATCACTTGGAAATGCCCTCTTAAAACAGAAATCAATCCCCTAAGATAGGAGAAAGATACCACAAAATAGTAAACACAAATTACTTGGACTGTTAGTTTGCCTTTCGTTGTGCTTGTGCATACATTTCTGATTTGCTCCAATGGATGAGGAAAGCAGCAAGTCAAACGCCTTCCGGGGAAAAGGGAAAAAATTCTCCCCTCTCTTCTTCCAACATAGTCTCTCCTGGTTCTCTGCTAGCCTGATGAAAGAAAAGCAGAAGTAAAATGGAGTCTGAACGGGTTGAATGGTGACCCCTCAAAAGATATGTCCACTTCTTAATACTTAACTCCTAAACAATAATACCTTATATGGCAAAAGAGTGACTATTCTCTTATATGGTAAAAGACGCGATTAGATTAAGGAACTTCAGAGGAGGATCTTACCCTGGATTGTCTCAGTAGATCCTAAATGCAATCACATGTTTCCTTATAAGATAGAGGCAGAGGGAGATTTCAAATATGTCTTAGTCTGTTTGGGCTGCTATTAAAAATACTACAGGCTGGGTGGATAAGAAACAACAGAAATTTATTTTTCACAGTTCTGGAGACTAGAAATCCAAGATCAGGGTGCCAGCATGGTGGGGTTCCAGTGAAGGTGCTCTTTGGATTGTAGACTCCCAAATTCTCACTATATCTTCATGTGATGGAAGGGGCAAGGGAGCTTTCTTGGTATCTTTTTTTCTTTTTTTGAGGAGGATTAGCCCTGAGCTAACATCCATCACCAATCCTCCTCTTTTTGCTGAGGAAAATTGGCCTTGAACATCTGTGTCTATTTTCCTCTACTTTTTTTAATATGTGGGACACCTGCCATCTTGGTATCTTTTATGAGGGAACTAGTTCCATTCATAAGGGCTCTAATTTCATGATCTAATCACCTCCCAAAAGTTCCAACTCCTAAAACCATCACATTGTGCACTAAGTTGTCATGATATGAATTCGGGGGGGACATAAACATTCAGACTATAGCAAAACATAAGAGGAGGCAATGGACTTGTGGAAGCAGATATTGGAATGATGTCACCAAAAGCCAAGAAACACCTGGACAACACAGAAGCTGAAAGAGGCAAGGCACAAATTTTTCCCCTAGAGCGTCTGGAGAGAGGCAGATCATGGTGACACCCTGATTTTGTACTTCTGGCTTCTAGAAATGTGAGAA